ACCTCCCTCACAAGCAGTGGCCTCTGTGCACTTCCCTCACAGGGCGGTAGTACTGCTGCAGCTGTTTTACAGCAAGACCAAAGGCCACAGGTTTGGTTTCCTTTTCTTTCTTTTCTCCGAGTTTACAATGTTTTGGGTTTTTTCTTCAGAATTTTTGCACATTCATGGAGTTTATTATTATTTTCTTATCTCTCTGCTTGTTTTACAGGGTCTTACCCCAGCTGGCCTGGACCTCGCTTTGTAGATTAAGATGCCCTGGGGCTCACAGAGTCCACCTGCCTGTGCCTCCAGAGTACTGGGGCTAAAGGTGTGCACCACCACCCTGCTCATGGAGTTCTTAAGGTGATCCTAAAAACACAGCTGTGGTGAGTGGATTACCACTTATTTTAGGCATCTCCAGGCTTTACAGAGGTTGATACTTAAAATGAGAGTTCTTTTTTAAGAAGACTTTCAAATGGAAAATCACCAGGCTACCACTGTGGCCCTGGAAGAAGTATGAGCCAGGGTTGGGTCACATAGCTTCTCAGCATGTAGCCTCTGCTGACAGGATTGCTGCCACTTGAGTCTCTGGCCACCAACTCATTCTACTACAAGTGTGCTGTGCATTGCAGCTGAATCAGAAATCAAGTGCCTGGGTTTTGATATCTGCACTGTAGATATTCATAGGATGAGGCAGAAGTCGTAGCTACAGTCCTTTGCCCTCAGTTGTCACAAACAGAAAGGGTGACAATTGGTGGCTCAGTTCCATTCAAAAGGAAACAGAGGATGTAGTGGAGAGGAGAGGGCATGCCCCACTGCATTACTGCCTTGAAGAATAAAATGAAATTTGGCTCGTTAACTAACCAGGTCTGGCCCCCGTATCAGCAGTCATGAGAGCCTGCTTTGGCTGGGCTCTACCTATCTCCTAAATCATTCAGCTCTGTGGCTTTCTTCCAGTTTTTGTCCCCCTGACCTGTGTCACGTTTTACACTGTGAATCACCATCCCTTTCTGGAACCACTCTCATCTTTTTTTGTCACATGTCTTCTCTCTCTTCTCACCTCCAGATGCTCCTCTGCTCTTCTCATAATTTATCTTCCCGCCTGCTTCCCTGTCAGCATTTTCTGGAGCACACGGTTTCAGTTCTTTGTTCTGCCTGTTTCCATGTGAGGAGCTTAGCTTGGTCGCCACTTCCCAGGTCCTAAGAGCAGATATACAGGTCTAAACAGGACTGGTTTATCCTAAACCATGTTTTTCCTCTAGGTCTTCCTGTTTTTAAAAGTGAAACTGATGTGGATTCCTTGCATGTAGTAAAGGGACCTGTCTCAGCTCTTAGTCAGCTTAACCCAGGGAACTTGGATGCTGGACAATCAGTAGTCACCAAAGCTGTCCCCCATTACTGTCTTCTGGCTGTTTTGTATTGTACCCAAGAATAATAAGGAAAACAAATAAGAAATGAACAGAGTGAACATAGATTTATTAAGGAAAACAAGAATGACTCCTGGGAATGGGTGGGGAGCGGCTCAAGGAGGATTCCTGCTATGGACCTTCAGGTAGTATTCTGTTGTGTGGCAGGAACTGGGTGGAGACGTAGGTAATCTTTCTTGAGACTGATTATTTTTGGCTGGTGATTTGTAAAAAATGTGTGCACCTGAGAGGAGTCTATACCCTCTCTGTGTGCTCCTTCCGGTCAGCCAGAGAGGTAATCACTTGCTACTCGTCCAGCCAGGGGAATGGTTGGAAGAGGTGATCATTTTGTTTGTTCATTTCCAAGCTTCTTGACTAGCTCATGGTCCACAGTGGGCCCTGCCCTTTGAAGATGCCTCTTGTCTCAGTCTCATGCTTCTCTCTGGCCTGAGACTTGGCCTCAGCTTGATACTTTTCAGTCTCCCAAGTGTCTGATAGACATTTAAAGAGCAGGCCTACTTAATTTATTCTTGCTGTAACATTCTGGTTCTCAAAAATGATATTAAGTTTTTCATATTTAAGAACATATAACCCTCCTAGTCATCTCTTTTTCCTCCAGATTCTCATTTTTACTTTTTTTAACTGTTTCACATCCTATTTTGTGACATGAGTTACCTCTTAATTTATTCTCAACCAAACCAGCCTTAAATTGCCTTCTGTTAAATGTTGTTTCTGTGAGACAAAGATCTACATTATTATGCTGTTGTTGTATTAGCCAGAGGTCCCTGGACAAGCAGAACAGATAGGATGATGATAGAGTGATCCGAGGGTCGGCTTAGGAGGCTCACTCACATAGTCAGAGGCTGCACGGAGGCCATCTGCACACTGGAGAGCCGTGGGGAACTGGTGACTCTCAATCTAAGAAGCTGGAAACCACAGCACAAGAGACATGGTGTGCCATAGACTGAGGCTAAATGCCTGAAAGTCCTTGAGGAGCCACTGGTGAAAATCTGTACTTAGAGGTTAAGCATCTAACGTTCACAGGAGAAATGGCAAAACCCACCTCCACTCAGGAAGAGTCAGGCACACAGTTGCCAGCTTCCCACTTCTGTCTCCTTTTTGCTTTGTGTGTCCACTGCCTATTGGATAACACTTGAGTTCATGGTCAGTCTTCTCATAGCACCATCCTGCACACCAGTCTTCTCCATCAAGTCAGATTGACAACCATACTCAGCATCGACACTTCTCAAAAAGAGGACATAGAAAATGAATGGACCACAAAACAGTGACAGAAATAAATTCAATATGTCAGTCATTTTAAAAAATTACCTAGAGCTGACAAGTTGTTTAAGCAGATAAAAGCACTTACAACCTGAGTTTGATTCCTGGGGGTTATCTGGTGGGAGGAGAGAACAGACTCCCACGAGTTGTCTACTGACCTTCACATACATACGGGACACATGGATGTACACATGCACACACACATAATCACAAAATAGTACAAAGGTAGATAAATGGGATAAAAATGTCACAACTAGTTAAGGTTGTAAATATAAAATGTAAGGAATTGATAACTGCTGCCACAAAATAAAACACTTGTTTAAAAAGACACAGGTAAATACTGAAGAAAGTCAGGTTTTTGTAGCTGTTATCAGGGGAAAAAATGAGGCCAGAAAGCAGGTAAGGGCGCTTGCTCCCAAGCCTGGCTGACTAGGAACCAACAGTGGAAAGAGAGCAGACCCCTGCCATCTGTCCTCTGACCCCACACATTACCACAGACACATGCACATGCACATACTACTGCAGACACATGCACACACATGCATTGTTGAATCAAACAGTATACATTAGAGATGTCCTGTATGATTCATTTAAATGCGAAAAAGTTTTGTGCCAAAAATCTGAAGATCTAGGTCAGTGGCAGAGCACATCCGCAACATGTATCAGGCCCTAGTTATATGCTCAACACCCCCAAAAAGGTCTTGTATCTAATAGCACACTTTCAAAATGTATAAAAGACAAATTTAGTGAGTCCAGGGAAAACTTGAGAAGTTTATTGTTGCAGTAAGAGATTCTTTTTTGTTTGTTTGATTGGTTGTTTGTTTGATTGTTGGGTATTGGGGTTTTGGGAGGGGGTCTTTAAATAGCTCTGGCTAAACAGGAACTTATTATGTAGCCCAAGCTTATCTCAAACTCAGAGGTCTGCCTTTGTCCTTCTGTCCCCTGTCCCTCTGTCCCCTGTCCCTCTGCCTCTCTGTCCCCGTCCTTTTGTCCTCTGTTCCTCTTTCCCCTGTCTCTCTATCCCATCCTTTTGTCCCTCTGTCCCCTGTCCCTCTGTCCCTTTGCCCCTGTGCCTCTGACAGAGCAAACTAATCAAAATGAAACAACAAACAAAAACCCCATGTATACCAAACAAAACATGGCTATGGATTTGAGTAATGCAGTGTTTAACATTGCTGTAATAGACACATAGGAAAATAGTTTATCCAGAAATAAAAAATAACCCATATATATGAAAATTTAAATGTATTTTCTAAATGTGCCAAGAAATAAATAATAATGGAAATAAGAAATATAAAAAAAAGGACATTAATGAAAAAAGAATTTCAACACAGAACAGGAGACTGATGTTCCAGGTTAGAACTCAGTGGTTTAAACAGAATTAACAACCATCGGGACAAAATACAAAAGGTTCTTTAAAAGTAAGCTGGGCATGGTGGCTGGTGCCATACCCTCAGTACTTGGGGGGCAGAGGCAGCAGCATCTGAAATTCAAGGTCATCTTCATTGCTATATAGTAGGTTTAAGATCAACATGGGATATGTGAGACTGCCTCAGACCAGAACCCAAACAAAGAACTGACAGTGAACAGTAGTTTGAGGGGATTACTACAGAGTTTGTATGATGATTCACATTCCCCAATCCTTAGGAATATATACTAATCTTAAAATATCACACAACTGAGCTTTTCAGCTCTTGAAAGAGAAGAGACTGATGGCATGGCATAGGCTTCTTGGAATAATAGCATCGCCCTCAGCTTCCCTTTCAAGCCCGTTCCCTAGTGTAAGTGTGAGCAGGACTGCACAAGGATTCACTTAGACTGACAGATGGATGGGCAGTCTATGACAGACACCCGGGGCCCCAAGTGGGAAGAGAAACAGAAATGCAGCATGTGAGCACTGTAGCGAGACCGCGGGGCAAGGGTAAAGCCTGAGAGAGAATCTAAAAAGTAAGAGAACAAACCGACAGCAGCCTGTGATTCCTGACAAGCACAAGCCACAAAGTCAGAGAGCAGAGACAGGCGTGGAGAGGAGACAGTGTGGGGAGGAGAGAGCTGCCAGCTGACAGACGAGGGGAAGATAACAAAAACAGAAAGTATGTTATCAGCAGTCTCCTTAAGACAAAAGCTTCGGCGGACAGTGGTGGCGCATGCCTTTAATCCCAGCACTTGGGAGGCAGAGGCAGGCAGATTTCTGAGTTTGAGGCTAGCCTGGTCTACAGAGTGAGTTCCAGGACAGCCAGGGTTATACAGAGAAACCCTGTCTCGAAAAACCAAAAAAAAAAAAAAAAGAAAAGACAAAAGCTTCAGGAATTCTTTTAATTTTTTTTATTTTGTTAATGTTTGTTACTTTACTTAAAATTTAAAAAAAAAATTAAGCCAGGCAGTAGTGGCACACACCTTTGATCCCAGCACTCAGGAGGCAGAGGCAGGCCGAGCTCTGAGTTTGAGGCCAGCCTGGTCTATAGAACAAGTTCCAAGACAGCTTGGGCTGCACAGAGAAACCCCATCTCAAAACACAAAACAAAAAAGTTTAAATTATGTATATGTATGTCTGTGTGAATATATGCCACATGCTAGGGGTACCCATGAGACCAGAAGAAGGTCCCTAGAGTTAGGTTTCCCAGTGTGCTCTTAATTACTGCCATCTCTCAAGGTCCCTAGTTTTACGTGTGTGTGTGTGTGTGTGTGTGTGTGTGTGT